GATCTGGGGTCAGGAAAGCTGAGTTCAAATCCAGTCTCAGACATTTACTAGCTTTATGAGCCAGGGCAAGTTATTTTATCCTCTGTCTGCCTCATTTTCCTCAACTGTAAAATGGGGATAATAATAGTACCTGCCACCCAAGGTTGTGAGGATCAGTTGAGATAATACTTGGAAAACACCTAATATAATTTCTTATACACAGTAGGCTTTTAATAAATTCTTCTTTCTTTCCTTCCTTACTTTCCTTCTTTCTATATGCCTGAAAGATCAAAATGTTTTAAGCTATATTTTTATGTGTAAAATTACATGTATAATTTGCATTTTGGTACTTTAGTGATAGCACTATTATAGTTTCTTTACTATGTTGTATGTATACATTCCTTGACTTCCATCAGTGGCTTGATGTACAAAGCTGTATTTCAACAACTGTTATTGAGAAAAGCATATCTTACCCATATTTAATATCTTGTTAATAGGCCCTGTTATTATCTTTTCATCAGGGAAAAGATAATAACTTAATGCTGCAACATCAGGACACAGATTTTATTAGTACAGTTTCTTAAAATTTAAATAAAATTATTATGACCTTCAGTGCTAACATTTTAATGACCCTTTCCCCTACTTAGGTTTCAATTTTTGTAATTGTCAACATTGTTCTTTTCTTTCTCTACTTTGTGAGGGAAAGAAGAGAAAAAGAAAAAAGGAAAGGAAGAACTGATACTAGAGGCCCTTTGAGCATTAATCTGTAGAGGAATATGTAGTGTATTCACCTGTTGACTGGTTTAGGAAAATAAATGCAGTAAATGAAACTGCTATTCTGTAGTGCAATGTTTAAAATAAATTTGCAAATGATTTTACTTCTAGAAGTGGGTTGATGTCTCTTTGAAAATATTTTCCTTTGTTCTGCTTCAATGTTTGTATTATACTAATGTTATATTTGAGGCGTAGGATTACATTGGGTGGCCAGTGGTGTTCTGCCTTAATTAAGAAATTTCTTACGAAGTAGAATGGTTTTAAATTGTGTCCTAATCTGTGGGAGGGAGATTGTTTGTTGAGGTAAGGGTGTGGAGCAGGTGATTCCTGAGAGGAAAGACAGCCTGAGTATAGGCTCATAGGTGGGGCAGGGTGGAGAGTGTATGCATTAGGAATGGCATGAGTTTGCCTAGCTTAGGTAGACACCATAACTGGAATTGAAGTAGAAGATGAGACGTTTAGAGTCTTTGCGTCACCTGCATGGCAATGCTAAATGATGAGGCACTCTGTGTTCAAAGTAGCATCACATTGTGGTATGGTAGACAGAACACTGCACTTAGGTTTAGGAAGACTTGAATTTGGATCCTGCCTTAAACACTTTATCACCATGTGAAACCAGTCAAGTCAATTAATCTCTCTGACCGTCAGTTTCAAATCTGTTAAAATGGGGATAATAATAGCACTTATCTCATAGGGTTGTTATGGAGATCAAATTAGATAACAGTGCTTTGCAAATTATAAAGTGCTATATAAATATGAACAATGATGATATATGGATTAGAGTTTTAGGGGAAATTGGGAATGGAGTGCTGCATGAGAACAAGGTTGTAGCATTTCTGATGAGATGTAAATAAAGGAGAGAACTAAAAAAAGATTAGAGAGAGGAGGGATAAGGGTCTATGAACGCAGAATGTTACTACGTACACTGGTAGGAGTACATCGTGGCAGTTCTTATTTTTTCTTTGTTGCAAGGGTAGGCTCAGTAGGATGGGTTGGGTTATGAAAGCATATTTAGAAATAAATGAGATAAAAATAAGAATATAAAAAAATTAATAACCAGATCCCAGAGATTCTAAAGAGAAAAAAATGTCAAAACTTAATTTTGTACTGGTTTAAGAACAAAAGATGGTAGACATCCTAAAATTTGGAAGGAGACAGAAAGAAAGCAGGGTGGGACTGCTAATAGTGATGAGTATTAATGATAGTGAGAGTATTCAGTGCTTAAAATTTCATCGTGAGAAGAATTAGAGAAAAAAGGAAGGCGTCCTTTTGAGGGAAAAAACTTCATCTTACTCCAGAAGTATCAAATGGTTCACTTTTTACCTAGTTAACACAATCTGAGTTCTTAAGACATTTTCAAGATCATTGTGCCATGCATTATGCCCTATCTCCATATTGTGAAAAGACTCTGTCAGCAATCCAGAATTAGAGCTATACTAACAAAATTCCAATTTTTCTGTGGGATGATCCAAGAACAGCAAACAGCATTAAGTTTCTTAACTATCACAAGTGTGTACATGTATGCTATGTTCTTCTTGTCATTCACCGCATTCTGATGTGCAGATGAGAAGGATTGGAATACTTTGCATGGCTAATAATGTGTTCCATATGGTAAATAGGTTTTTGATGCATAGCAAAGAAGAAAACCAGCTAACTAATAATGCTTGATGTGGTCTGCAGGACAGACTAGGCCCCCTTTTAGCCTTATTTGTTTAGTCTGACCTGATTTGACATGGTAGCTTCATATGTGTAAGGGATTTTTTTTGGCCAGAATCAAGATTCAGAATAGTCTCTTCACTTCCATCCAGAATCTTGTTTACACAAGTACTCTGTTTTAACATAGAGCGTGTGAGGTACATATAATCATTGTGCACCTAGAGGCAGCATGGCGGATTAAGCAACAGAATAGCATTCTAGTCTTGCCTTGGTCATAAACTTGCTATGAAAACTGAGTCAAATCATTTTAATTCTCTTAACCTTAATCTCCTAAATGAAGAATTAGAGAAGCCATATTAGAATGTTTATAAAGTACTTCTTTTAAAAAGAAATAAAAAGTGATACAGAAATGAATTTATTTCAGTGGGATATGTTTATAATCACAGAATGTTAGAATTGGAAAATAATGCAGCCAGCCTCCTTTAATACATAAGCAAACTGAAACGCAGAGATCCTCAGTAACTTGCACAAGGTTATATAGTTAATAACTATTGAGTAATGTGAGGTTTGGTGTTCTTTTGTGTACATTGCCTCGTTTACTCTTCTTGATCATTTAAACTAGTTGCTAGATTTCTCCCTGATTATCATGAAATCAACCAACCAGCAAATATTTATTTTATTTGGTCGTTTCAGTCCTGTCCAACTCTTTGTGATCCCATTTGGAGTTTACTTGGCGTGATCCCATTTGGAGTTTACTTGGCGTGATCCCATTTGGAGTTTACTTGGCAAAAATATTAGAGTGGTTTGGCATTTACTTCTTCATCTCATTTTACACATGAGGAACTGAAGCAAACAGGGTTAAGTGACTTGCCCAGGGTCACACGTGTAATAAGCATCAAAGGCTGGATTTCAACTCAGGAAGATCTGCCTTCCTGACTGGCACTCTACCCACTTTGCCATCTTGCTACAATAGCATTTATTAAGTGCTTGCTATATGTCAGACACCTGTGATAGACTCTGAAGGTGATCAAGAGAAAAATGAAACAGTCTCAGGAAGCTTATATTTTATTAAAAGAAACATGTAAAACATTAATAAGTATATACTGAATAAAGTATATAAAGTATATAGCAGATACAAGGTATTTTAGGGAGGTATGACATTAGCAATTGGGGGTGGGTCAGGCAAAGCTTCACAAAGGAGATACTGATTAAGCTGAGTCTTGAAAGAAGTACGGAATTCTGTGAGGTGGAGGTAAGCAGTGAGTGTATTCAAGGAATGAGAGACAAGGGGAAACTTTATTGCCAAGGAAACTGGAAATATAATGCCATGTGTGAGGAATAATGAGAAGGCTAGTTTGACTAGACTTAAGGGCAGAAAGGAATGTAATGTATAAGGAGACTGGAAAGGTTAGCGTCAGGTTATAAAGGGCTTTAAAACTTTAAGAGGAATTCAGATTTTATCCTCCTAGAGGCCATGGAAAGCCCATGGAGTTTCTTGAAATGCTATGCTCAGAACTGCGCTTAAGGAAATTTACTTTGTCAGTCATGTGGAGTATGAGATTTGAGAGAAGAAGATCAATTAGAAGACCACTGCAGTAGTCAAGATAGGACATGAGGAGGGAATGGACTAAGGAGATAGCTATGTGAATAATGCAAAGGGAACAGACACAAGAATTACTGTGAGGTAGAAATGTCAAGATTTGGCTATTATTTGGATATGGAAGGTGAGAGAAAATGAGACTTTGAGGATAATAACAAGGTTGCAAGCAAAAGCCTGGAAAGGTATTGGGACCCTCAGCAGAAATAAGGAAAATTGGAAGAGAGGTATATTTAGGGAGAAGATAATGAATTCTGTTTTGGACATATTGAGTTGGAGATGCTTATGTGACATCGACTTGGAATGCCCGATAGGAAATTCAAAATGTGGACCTAGAGCTTAGGAGAGAGAACTAGAGCTGTATATGAAGATCCAAGAATCATCTGCATAGAAATGACGATTAAACCATGGGCAGCTGGAGTAGTCACCGAGAAATAGAAAGTAGAGGTAGAAGAGGCCCAGGTTATGAAGCCTTCGAGAGGTGTCAAACTTGCAGTCACTAGGAAACAAGATTCAAATCTTATTGGAGTATGTTTAACAAAATAAATAAAAATACAATAGAAATAATGTTGATTTGTTGGGGGGGTTTTCCAGTCAGTATGTGGTCCACAGAGATCCATTTCTGTTTGAGTTTGACACCACCTCCTTAGAATACCTTCACCATTAGGAGGCATGGTATGGAGGAATACCCAGAAAAGGAGAGACTGATAAGTGGTTAGACAACCAAATAGAAGGAGAACCAAAAGAGACTCTTCTTTTATAGTCATAGATATTTAGATAAGATGGAATACTTAAGAAGGGAGGATGGTCAACAGTTTCAGATGCTTGCAAAGAGGTTAAGAAGTGTGAGAACTGAGAAAAGCTTAATTAAGACATTATTGCAATTTTGGAGAGAGTATCCTCTCCATGATACCAACAAATAAGATAGGTAGGAGAAAATATATTTTTCTGTGTCCTTATAACGGCTATTTTCTTGTTCTCTTTTAAATGACAGCAAATTCAGTAAAGCTAGAAATGCAAAGTGATGAAGAGTCTGACAGGAAACCCCTGAGTCGGGAAGGAGACATCAGGGGCCATGATGAAGGTAGCAGCCTAGAAGAACCCATTATTGAGAGCAATGATGTGGCTGACAACAGAAAAGTCCAGGAGCTTCAAGGCGAGGGAGGAATCCGGCTTCCGAATGGTAAACTGAAATGTGACGTCTGTGGCATGGTTTGCATTGGGCCCAATGTGCTTATGGTACATAAAAGGAGTCACACTGGTAAGCAGCTGAAAGAAAACCTGATGACTGCCTATGGCATCTGATGTTTATATTACCTGACAACTATTCTCTTGCCTTTTTATTCAGGGGTAGAAATGGTGAATGGGGAACTCAACTTTTTCAGAACTCTGCTAGTACTGTATTGTTGACAAGCAGAAAGTAACCTTGGTCTTGACTTCCAACCATGGAGTCTGAATAGTAAATCATAAAAAAAGAAGCTTGGAATTCAATTTTCATTGTGCTTAATGCAGCAATAATATGGTAAGGGTTCAAATGGCAAAGAATTTCATGGTGTAACATGATCTTTGCATCTCCCTATACAGATTTTACCTTGCCGTGTACAGATGATCTGATTTGCTAGGGAGAGTCTAAGACATAAGTTTAATCCTCATGCATTTGTATAGGTGAATCATTTTGTAGCTTTTTTAAATCTTCTGTAATTTCTCCCTACCATAAGCTACCCTGACAATCAGTGCTAGAATACAATTGCCAGTTAGGTATCAGAACATTAAAGCACTTAGCAGGACGCCTGGTACATTAGGCAGTATATAAATGCTTATTCTTTCTCTCCCTTTCCTGACCCCCTCAGCCATTTGCATTCTCTAGATCAACATAGCAGAAAGAATAGGGGAGTGTCCCTGGTAAAAGATGATTTTTTTTTCTTTAAACAGAATCTTCTCTAAATTGTTTTAGTTGTGTAAAGTTTACATTTTTCTTACCAGTTGTAAAAAGCCACATTCTCCACATATATGAAATGAACCCTTGGAATAAATTAGGTACTTTGGGAACAACATCTTTTAACATCTAGAACAGAGTGGATATTTAATAAATGTTTGTTGAATTGAATACTAGTGAGCACTGTACACATAGTGAGTTTGCTATCAGTATTACTTTGACTTGCTAACTAATTATTCTGCCTATATTAAACCCACCTTTGGAATACGCTAAGAAGACATCTGAGAGTGTTCAATTTAACTCACTGGTCTTATCAATGATTTGAGTTTTCAGGTGCACAGTTTATTCTGTATGGTAGAACTCTGCATCACCAGGGTCCAGGTATAAGTTGCTGTGTAAATAACTATACATGTAATCTTGTAGTCTGTCTACAATCTGAAATAACAGTCTAGAACTGACTTCGGCAATCCATACCTAAAAGATGGATGATAGTAATTCATTGTTTATATAGTGCATTTATATTTATCAAACTCTCGCTTTACAATAATCTGGTGAGGTATATAAGGCAAATATTATCACCCTCATTTTGTCAATAAGAAAAATGATGCTCAGAGAGGTAAAATAAGCTGCCCAGGGTCACAAAGCTAGTAAATAGCAGAACTGGAACTTAACCCAGGTCTTCCAACTCCTTGCTTCAGTATTAACACTGTATTGTGCTGCCTCTCAGTGACTTGTGCCTCTTGGTAATTATGGTGTATAAGTTTGAGAGCCTCAGAGACATGGAGAGACACCATTGCTTCTAATTTTTTTTAACTGAGGGCAGATGTTGCCATCTCAAAATAATTTCTGATCTTGATGGTGGCAAGGGAGTTGTTTTATTATCAGGTGGGAGGAATGGAGTACAGCTCAGGAGATTACAATAAAGGAAAAGGGGACTAGATGAAAGCCTGTCAATTAAATAAATAAACCTTTTCAATCTTAGGGAAATAAGAAAGAACTAAATGGTTTATTGTTCTAATCATGAATAAATGAAAAGAAGTATATGCATAATTTTAATGTCATCAGCCCTTTACCAGAATTAAAAGTAGTTCTACAGTGAAAAATGTATTAAAATGCAAATGAGGATTACTACTCTTATACTCTAACCAGAAAGTTGCAAGTTTGGAAAAAATAGCAGTAGATACATTAAGCTAAGGTGTGAAGAAGTTATAGGAATATATAGTCTCAATAATAGTAATAATAACAATAACATATTTGGCATTTTTTAGGTAGAGCTTTAAAGTTTGCAAGATAGGTTACAAATATTAGTTCGTCTTATCCTTAGAACAACCCTGGAAGGTAGGTGCTATTATTATCAATGACAAAACTGAGGCAGACTGGGGTTGTGATTTGCCCAGGGTCTATAGTTAGTAAATGTCTGAATCTGGGTTTGAACTCGGGTCTTCCTGACTCCAGGCCCAGTACTCTCTCTACTGCACAAATATACTATACTTTCAGGAGAAAGATGAGCCATAACGAATCAAGGTGATGTTGAATCCACTTCAACATACATTGAGCTGCTGCTGTGTGGGAAGTGGTGTGCTAGGTTCTATTTAGGATCTGAAGATGAATAAGACACAGTTACTACCTTTAAAGAGTTTATCATCTATGAGAGAGAATACATGTAAAATACATGTGTAATACACTGTAACAATAGTGGCAGAAAAGAAGTACGAACACAGTGTTATGGGAATACAGAGAGGAGAAAGGCAGTGCCTGCCTGGAAAGGTCAGGGAAGGGTTCGTAGAGGCAGTAACAGTTGAACTAGGAAAAATGTCCGGGATTTAACAAACAGTGAAAATGGAGGTCAGTCACCAAGTGAAAGAAATAATGTCAGCAAAGGTACAAGAAGCAAGGAACAACCTGAAATATTTAAAGAACGGCAAGTAGTGTAATTTGGCTTTATTTCAAAGCTCAATCTCATGAGGATCACTTAGGGTCAGTCGACATTCAACCCAGTCTCCTACCTCTTATATGTTAACGGTAATGAACAGTCAATAGTAATACTCAGAATGATCAATAGATAAGATCCTCAGGGGTCAAAGAAATATTAAAGTCTGAAGTATGATTATAAAGTAATGCAGCAAATTTTAAAATCAACAAATATACCAGAATAGCTATGTATATATAGAAACGTACATGCATATTATGCATATACATACATACATATTCAAATGAATATCGCTGCCACAAAAAAAATCACTCATTTTAACCTCAAAACATTTTGAAACTTCTTTAAAATTAATTGCTTTTAGAATCCATGGCAAATTATTTTGGACATCTCCAGTGGCAACAAATCTTTGCCTTTTCAGGATGAACATGATTTTAAAGTGATTTTGGTGCCAATTTCAGTGAATAAGGCAGGTAGCCCTGCTTGGAAGTACCATTCTCAGTTAAATGCACTCTATATCAATAAAGTAAAGAGAATGGTTTTCTTGTATGGTTCATTAACTGATTCTGAAGAGAATCCCAGAGAAGAGTTAGAAAAATTACTTGAATAGGGATGGCATCATTATAAATGTAGCCTGTCAGAGTGAGTCTTTTAAAGGATAGTGGTTGATTTGGATACATAACCTCTCTCATGACAGCTTAAGAGTATATTTCACTACTTGTGTTCCATACAGTTAATTTACCAAGACATTAAATACATTTCAGAAGAATTTTCAACAACATATTTCAGAGCAAAGAGATCTAGTTAACCAGTTAACCAGTTAACCTTTTCCTTTCTTTAGCATTCTGAGGTTGAGGTTATACTGTAACCATCATAATTTTTGATAGGCTTTCCTGTTGTTAATTTGTTACTTATGTTTTACTTCATTTCCTACTATAGTCTCTTATTATAAAGAATTAGCTCACTCAGGGTAGTTTAAACACAGCATATTGATCATTAGTGTTCTGTTGAGCATCTAATTGAAAACTGAAGTATTTTCAAATTATAACAAGACTTAAGCTATGGAGATTCACAATAGTAACAAGATAATTCCCATTGATCTAGGATGCTTTAAGTGTAGTTTTGAATGCTAGATAAACAGACTGGATGATTTCTGAAAAGTCGCATTAATTTCATCTGTTACTTTGTAGCTAATTGGTACCATTAGTAATAAAATCTTTGCAGCTTTCCCAAACAATTAAGGTTCTGGTTAGAATTTTTTCAAGGTCAGCTCAAAAATATAGAAATCACATTTTTCCATTTCCATTTTATTTATGATGACATAAAATAATAATTCTACATAAGCCACTACTTTGCCATTTCCAACTGAGACTCTAAATGTGTTTGGATTTCCCCGTTGTGAGCTTCACTTGGGGTGGGTGGGAAAAATTCATTCATAATTTAGTAATCATGAATTAATATCATTATTTTAGTTAACAGTTTGAAGTAGAATTTCTTCCTCAAATTTATATGTATGTAACTTAAATATTTTAGGGAAAATTCTTTTATATTTTTTTAACTAGCAAAACATTAAATATAGGATTGAAATTAAGAATAATGCTTAACCATCTAACTCATAACACTAATAAGGAGAATCAGATCTAATTAGCTTCCTGTTTTTCTTTTTCCTTTTTTTCTAAAGTGCCAATTCCAGCATCTTATTCATGGTTTGGGATTTTTACTTTGGTATTGCTACTTTAGCCAAGTAATCAGGTAATATGATCATCGGATTCTCTAGGCAGTCTTCATGGGAAGGTATTAAGGAAAGAAAAACAAGTAGGGGGAATGAAAAATCAATTCATGTAAAACTACTATCTGTGGGGAGATCAAAAAAGTGATAAAGTGGATCATTCTCCTTAAATTTGACCCTTTATGGGCAAAACACAAAAAACACTTTTTTCTTGCAGCTTTCAGTACCATGTTTAGTACATTGTGGCTTTTTGGAGTCATGCCCTTGCTCCTTGATGGCTTGTTCATCACAGCATTTTGACTAGGAAATTCTGCATTTTTGCAGGTTGTGTATTCTACTCAGTACAAGACCTTGTATATAATATTTTGCCTCTTGTTTCACTAAGGCATATAAATGTGTATATACATTCCTATTGCATAGATATACTCATATTCTGCTTATCTTCATGCATGTGCTCATGCATGTCTATGCTCACAAACACACAGGTGTATTTTATATTAGTAATGGAAGTAATACAAATAATCCCAAGAAGTAACTGTGAACTCTCCTGAAGTGGGTGAAATTTTAGAATAAGGCTGAGAAAACACTGTGGTACTTAATTCTATCACAGCCCTTCCCCTAGATTAACAAGTTATTTCACAAGAAATAGCTTTGGCACAAAAATTTTTTTCTGTGACCAGTTGTCATAGTAGGATAGTATCCTGTTTGGATATTTGGACTAGATTATTCTTCACTGTTGTTATGGGAATCCTGAAGTCATAGGATTTGTTCTGCATTGATATATGAATAAGGATGTACATTAGACTGTGCCTTCTCCAAAGTATTTAAATCTCCCATGTAAACCAATTAATTCAGTCAATGTAGCTTACTATTTTTAAAAATTAGTCAATTCGTTGGGGGGAAAATTAGTATTACTGGTTATAATCTTATAGGTAAAGTTACTAATCAGTGGGAATTTTGACAGAGATTATCAATTTGATGGAATGTTTTGGTGCAGTAAAATTTGAGCCTCACTGGTTTGCAGGGCTGGTAAGATATTTTTCAGAGGCGTGGTACGTAAAGTAAGAGGAATGACCCTTTTGAAGCTAAAGAAAATAATATGGGATACAGATATGGTTTTATTGTGGCTTAGTTAACTACATAAAGCAAAGCTCAAAGTACTTACATTTAAAATATATATTATATTATTACAAAAGATATGCAAAATATACAGAATACCTTGAACGTATATATTGCCTTGAAATATACATTAAAGTAGAAGTTATTCATTGCCCCCACACTGTTATTAGAAAAAAAGTTACTTGGTTTTTCCTTCCAAAAATATGTACTGTATGATAAAAGTAATAGAAAGTATACTGAAACCTGAAATGATGACTGTAACTTCTCATGAACAGATTCAGCAGTACAAAGAGCTGCTTAACATGCTTTTAAAATACAGATCCATGGATTTCTGGACATTTTAAATTGCAGAATGGTGAAGCCTTTATTAGTTAAGCATCTAACTCATTTAGAAAACAGATAATCAGAGAACTAAGGTATAGGGAAAGGGATTGAACCTGTGATTTCATTAGGACAGGGAACTTTTTGGTGAGAAACTCCCTTTACCAAAGGGAGTTGGCACTGTTTCTACAACTCATAGTCTTAGAGAGTTGTCTAGGACACTAGGAGGTGAACTGACTTGGCATGGATTGCACAATCAGTATGTCTGAGGTAGGACTTGAACGCAGGTCTTGCTGGCTGGTCTTGTTCTCTATCCACTACACCACTCTGACTTACGGAGACCTAAAACTGTGCAAATATGGAGATTTAACTGCAGTATTTTTTTTTCTTGAATGACCTCATTTTTGTCCTCATTTAAGCCATGTTTACATGATGTGGCTTAGTTAACAACTACATAAAGCAAAGCTCAAGGTACTTACGTTGAAAATATACATTATATTATACAAAAGATATACAAAATATCCAAATATACCAAAATACCTTGAAAATATACATTACCTTGAAATGTACATAATATACATAATAACATAGCTTATCAGTTTGGTCAGCTGTATCACCCATTCAAGTGTTGTTTTTTTTTTAAATCAGTCAATTAACAAGCATTAATTAAGCCACTGCCAGCTACTATGGTAGGTTCTGGGGATATAAATTCAAAGAATTAAACAATTCCTGCATTCAAAGGATTTATATTTTAATGTGGCACCATAACTCCAAAGATGTTCAGATTTTTCAGGAGTAATCCTGCCTTGAATCCTACCTAAAGAAGTGATACAACCCTTGTGTATCTCATTCAGGACAATAATTATATATTGTCAACATTTACAACATATGCATTAGTCCAAAGTGCTTTCATTTCCTTAGATTTGGCAGCCAACTAGCCTTGAACGCATATCTGCAAGGAGATAACTGCAGATGGGCTTTTTCAGAAGTTTAACTCTGAGAATGATAGAATCTTTGAGCCTCAGACTTTCATGATATTTGAAACAGCATAGGGATATCTTCATTCACTGATTTTTCACTGGAGTAATGGCATATGTGTTCCAGATAAACTTATTAAATAAGATTAGACAGCTCAGAGTGAAACTTTGAAAAGGCAGCTCAATGTTTAATTAATGGTTTATCTTGAAGTGTGGAAATTGTCCAAATCATCAAAAAGGAAGTTATTTTTATTTTCCTTTACACACTGAAATTTAAAATAATGATAAACTTCTAAAAAAAAATCCATACCTAGCAGCTGTTCTGGTTTCAGACTGTTCTTTTCAAGTCTAAATATAAAATTGCCCAGTTACTTTAAATCACTTAGAACAGGGTTGCATTTTTAAACATGAAATGCAAAATGAGTTATATTAATCAATGAACTAAGTTTTCAAGGTATTAATAGAGTGGTCCAAAGCAGATGAAGTATAGATGACTTTATTTTGAGCTAAGATGTTTCCTGATTCGCCTTTCATAAGGAAAAGGGTTCCTAGAGAATTATATGATAATATTAGTCAACAGTTGTTCAAAGAACAGCTTTTTGGGAGGATAATTTTATTTGTGAATTAGAGATGTAGGTTGACAGGTTTAAAACACCAGCATTTAAATAATTTTGTTTATTTTACCATCCTCAGCTCCTCACTTTGCCACACATCTAGGCTTATTGATTGTGCCTCTACATGATCTCTCAGTCTGCCTTTCTCATCTTCATACTGTAGATCAGACATCATCACCTGTACCTAGACTATTGCAAAATCCTCCTGATTAGTTTTGTTCCTCAAGTGTCTCCCCTCTTCAGTTCATGTTTCATGTAGCTGCCAAAGTGATCCTGACCATATCACTGACCTATTCAATAAACATTAAGTGGCATGCCGTTTTCCTCTAAATTAAAGTACAAAATCCTTTGGTATTTACATTTTTTTTACATTTCTGCTCCAGCTTCCCGAAAGGGAATTTCTAGCCTTATTATATCCATGATATTCCCTCTCATAAATGGTCCAGCTAATTTATCTCTCTTTCTCTTCCTCTTACACAATGGGCCATCTTATTTCTCATCCTTTGTAGAGGTTTTCCCCTATACCTTCATTTACCTTTCTCCTTGCTTCTTCTTAGAATCCTTGATTTTCTTCTGAGCTTAGTTCACATTCCACCTCCTGTGTGAGGCATTTCCTGATTTCCAGGCTCCTTTACTGCGGGTCCTTACCACCACTACTGCCACTGCTCTCCTCCCACCAAATTGTATTTGTTATTTATGCATATACACACACACACACACATATACACACACACACACACACACACATACATACATACATACATACATACATACATACATGTATACATGTTGTTTCCCCCAAAAGAATGTGAGCTTCTTGAGGCCAGGGAATATATAAATTTCTTTTTCTTTGTGTCCCCATTGCCCGAGACAGTGCCTTACACATAGCTTAACAAATGCTTAGGTATGCATTAATTCATTTTTGTCTATTAACCAATATAGTTTCAGGTGTTTTATTGAAATTTCTTTGTTGGTCCCATGACACAGTAATGGTCAAGAAACTAGAGAAGGGCCTTAGAAATATTGTGTTAAAGATATAACCATAACTGACTTGGTAAAACAAAAATTAATATTGTCCAGTCCTTTGGTGTTATGTGCCAAATACTTGAGGCCATTAGACTTATAGGCTGATTAATGTACACAAAGAATTCAAATGCAGAGGATGTCACCCAGGTAGCCAGACCCCAAATGGTTGCCTAGACTTGTAGTGACTCATTCCTTGATAACATCAACAAGCATATTTCATGCTTGATCCAGTGAATGACAGCCAATTCACAATATTAGATCAAGATGTCATAAACAAAAGATTGTTAATATCACATCAGAGTTGCCAGAAAGAGAAGCTATATTTTAATGGAAAAATATAAGTATTCCTGGCATGGAAATGCTTTTTCATATTTTCCTTCTTGTCTCTATCACTTCTCCTTAAGGATGACACAAATTTCCTAAAGAGCTGTTGGTGACAGGTTTTCATAATGGAACTGTCACTAAAGTTGTTTTGTTTTGAGTCATTAAAATCATCAGAAGTGAAAAGTGCATTTTAAATATGTCATTTGGGGCCAGGGTTGCACATAACTGACGTAAACTGGCATACTCAATAGACTTTCTGCCTGCGTGGCAGCATGACGGAGTGATAATAGCCCTGCACCATGGATCAGGAGTTGGTCTGCCACTCGCTACAACCTTGAGAAAGAAAACCCTGTAATCTCTTTGGACATTACTTCCTTTACCTATAAAATGAAGGGATGGGACCAAATGTTCTCTAATATCGCTTCCATTTCTGAAATGCTATGAATTCAATGAAAGACTTGAGTTATGTTAGTTGCATTACTAAATTGAATGGTCAGGTTAATAAAATTTTTCGATCTGGTAGACCTAGCCTTAGTCGAAGCAATGGAGCACTACTGAATTTATAAGAGGAGGAAAAATGTCCACTGTCATGGATGTGAAGCTTGAAATCCTACCATGATCCAGTCCTACATTTTAAAGGAGACATTTGGAAAACTCATATCGGAAAAGAGTCTACAACAAACTTTTGGCATGGAGAAATGGTACGAGTTAGCAGTATGTTGGACTTGAATCACTGTACCATAACTTTTTTAATGCCTTCCTAATTTCTCCCTTCCTAAAGGTGAGCGCCCCTTCCACTGTAACCAGTGTGGAGCTTCTTTCACTCAGAAGGGCAACCTACTGAGACATATTAAGTTGCACTCTGGGGAGAAGCCGTTCAAATGTCCCTTCTGCAGCTATGCCTGTCGGAGAAGGGACGCCCTCACAGGACATCTCAGGACACACTCTGGTAAGTTCCCTCAGGTTGCTTGTTTCCCTTAACTCTTCATCCAAATCAGTGGCTATGAAGTTAGCTCAGCCACTTTTCAAGATGGTCCCAACACATTTCTGCAGGCATCTAAACTTCTTGAATAACTGCTATAAAGTGACAGAACTCACCTACAGTCATAAAATAGTCCCTCTCATCTAACACAGCTCTTCAAAGAAGAGCTAAAAACAAAGGAAAAAAGAACTGTAGAAAATCTCATTGCTTATGCCTTGGTATGTAGCCAGGTAACTGTTGAACTATATTATGTTGTGCTGCCCATATATTAAATATGCTTTGAAAAGCCATGTAAGGTATTGGTGTTCCTTTTTTGCAATAAGACAGGCTGGCCAAGTGAGCACTATCAGCTGGAAATGCAGTTATTTATGGAAAGTGAAATAAGGGAAAAAAACATCAGTTATGCAAATCTCCGAGGTCTTTTTAATTTCAGAGAAATTGTTACATCATTGACTATAGTCAGTCTAAGATAACTGTACACCTCTTAGTGAAATGAGAGAGTTGCCATGATCCAGCTACTATATAGAGTGGGGAATGCCCTGGTAATTTAACTTTAATTCAAGGCACAGATGGCCATCTGAACAGTTGAGCACTACATCAGTGCTACTGATAAACTTGAGAATGGTCCTCGTCAGAAAATTGGCTGTTAAAAGCATAGTTTTACTATTAGTTGTGTGATTCTTTGGCACTGTAACCACTGTCGATATATGGTCATATATCTGTATCTTTTTCCGGCCTCATATATCATCATAAAAATAGAGAATGAGTACTTAATTCCAGTAATGCTGGAAAGAAAAAAAAACCCCATAGCTCAATGTTTTTTTTAAACGAGTTACAGCTTGTACTTGCAGGATTGAATGAATCTCATTTGACTTTTAGCATGTGCAGCCCTAACAAAGAGGTTAGAAAAGAAAATTAATATAGAATCCTGTCATGCTCATTTTATATACTCCTGTCCATCATGGCATATTAAATTTTAATTTTAATGTACAGACATAATGGAAGTGCTGTTTGTATCTGAAATGACAAGTCATATTACAGAGTGCTGTGGTTTGCAATGCTTATATTACATTTTAAAGATTTCTCCTCCTGTACTTGGTCTTTTAACATGAATACAAGGGGATTACAATACTTTTCACACTTTAATTTTTGGATTGTCTGATGTCAGAAAAGTTCAATCAACAAAAATAAAAGTTGAGATAAAGAAAGGAAATATATTTTGAGTGAATTATTTTGCTCCCCTGTTTTAAGCTATTAAATGCATTTCTAAAATATAATATTTTATACAAAGATGTAGTTAATTTAAGAAATGCTAAATTTCAAAATTGCAAGAAAAAACTGCAGACAATTCTGAACTTAAAAAAGTAAGAATAACTAAAGAAAAGAGTGGTTACTTTAAATAGATTCTTTTTTTTAAAAAAAGCATTTAGTCACCGTGGATTTCTTTTGGCCATATTCACTTTTATACTTAAAGTGTTATTTTATTTGAATTACCAAAAATAATTTACTGACATACAGAAATATAGTCATTGAATAAAATAGGATATATATACATACGTACATACATACATGCATACATATATACATATACATACACACACATACATACTTTTGATTTTTTATATGGGAATGTCATTTTTTTCTTTATTTCATTCATTTGGTTGTTTTTCTACTATTTAGTTCCTCGATTTTACATGGTTTAGGGGCAGCTAGGTGGCACAGTAGAAAGAGCACCAGCCCTGAATTCAGGAGTGCCTGAGTTCAAATACGGCCTCAGACACATAGTACTTACTAGCTGTGTGACCCTGGGCAAGTCACTTAACCCCATTGCCTAGCCAAAAAGAAAAAAAAAAAGATTTTACAATGGTTTAACTTAACTCTAATTACTAACTTGATAAATACCACAATTATTTCTCAAAGTTCTTTTCATTAGAATAAATGTACTCAGCATTAATGAAGCATGTATGTCCTTAGTATGCTGCTGTGATGTTCATCACTACTTAATAGGTTTTTGAATTAAAACCAATGCTATATTTCCCCTCCCTTTTTTATTCTCTTCTGGGGTACTGAAACTGTAATCGTACCTGTCCCTGAGTAGATGGTGATACTTTGGTTTAATTGCACAAAATCATTGTGGAAAAATAAAAGATAACGCATAGAATTAAGCCACTTAGGTTTATATTGTGTTTTATACAGAAATATAACTTTATGTTTAAAATATATTTAAATTTTAAATACGCCAGCAATAGGCTGATTGGTGTGAAGATTCTAAGGAAATTTTAAAGTATTTGAGAAATAATAGCATATCTCTATAGTGGGCAAAGTATTGGCGTAGTTGAAATAGTAGAATTGAGCAAAGTCAGGAGGCATGGATTCTAGTTCTCTCGGTGAACTCTAATCAAGTGGTAAGTGACAGCCTCTTGGGACACGGCTTTCTTTATTTGTAAAATTAAAGAGTTGGATTAGGTGATACTTAAGATCCTGTCTAGCTCAGAAATATATATTTGTTTATAATTGGTTATGAACAAAATTTATGTGGGACAATTTTCACTCATTAGACTCAACTGTTAGTAATAATTATTTCTAAAATAATATGTTAAAATAGAAATTGTAAAATTACATATGTAAGGTAATGGTTTTAACCTGGCTTTTTTTTTCCACTCAGGAAAGCCTTAATTTTTTCCCCCTTATTTTTAGTGCTTCAGGCTTCTCAAATCTGCTTGCTGCTTCCTTTAACTTCTAGATTATAAGCAAGCACTTTTAGAGAGTAAAAGCCTTGCTTTCGTTTTTCAGGCCCTTTCAGCCCAATTGCAGGGTCAAAGACTTCACCTGTTTACTGTTGAACAGAAAAGGTATTTATTCACTTCATGCTGCAAGCTAGTTCTAGCCATCTCTTCGTTGCCTACAAACTAAATCTCATTCATTGCCTATGGCTCCAAAACCCAAAATTTCCCTGTGGTGCTTTTTACTTACCCTTTCTCCTGTGACTAAAGGGCGTGGGGCAGGGGGAAGAGGGGCGGGGGAGCCTGAAACCCTTGCCCAGAAATTGTCTTTGTCCAGTCAAGGAACCTTTAAGACAGAGCTAATTTGTGTGGAATGCTAATGATTACACTTTAAGTAGGTGACTAGCCTCTAACTTCCTCTTGAATTCTCCTTAAAGGGATGTGCTTTTAATTGTTTAAAAACCTACTGAATACATTGCAACAAACAATATTACTTTTAAACAAGATTATATAATGATTTCCTCACAGTTGCCGTGTTTATAGCTCTGTGATATTAGTTCTATTGGTTCACTTATGACTTGTATCTTGAAGTAACCTCAATTTTGGTGAAATATTCCAAATAAAATAGTCTTTGACATGCAAAACACTAGTGGGAAAAGAAAAAAATTGCTAAGTTTTCCTTACTTTTTAATGCTTCTTAAGAGTCGACATTTTGTAGGCGCTCTTTCCTAATTTATTTCCATTTTATACTGTTGATTCAAATCTATCAAACCTTGGATATTTTATTTGATAGACTATCTCAATCTTAAAAATTTTATTTTATGTGCTTTGAGGGTCTTTTAAATTTATCATGTGTAGTTGCATCTATTAAGAATTAGATTAATCTTAAAATATCTTGACTCTTTAAAAATAGAAGTTTGTTTTCAAATAAAAAGACATTTTCACCATTCTTGTAAAGATGTTTTTTCAGGAAGCTGCCTCTATTGTTTACATACATGTGCTTAGTGTAAGTAATGTATAAATTGCTATTTCTACATTTTCTATAAATTCTCCTAGTAGTGTTCTTTCTGTCAGAATAAGAACTTAATGCTTTTAATGTAGTTCCTTAATTTATGCCATTTGTTGTTTTGTTGAGATGTAATGTACAACATGTGATTTTTCTCATTAACCTAGGATGATATTTCATTTTATTTTGACTTCATTGATTTTCAATTCACTTCAACAAAAAAAAATGTATTAATTATATACTATGTGTAAGGCATTACGATAGGTGCTGGGGTATCAAAGAACAACAATAAAAAGCATTCCTGCCCTCAAGTAGCTTTTATTCTACTGTTTACAACATGTAGACAGATAATTACAGGGAGATTTCAGGAAAGAGACAGAGCACATTTTTGCTTTCATTAGCAAGAATTTTCTTTTTTATAGCCATCATAATTTTTGGTTGGCATAAATTTATACATATAGAGCTATTGACTGCCTTGTTAGAGTCTTACTTTATCACAGCAGCTAAACCAAAGAAAATGGATGTCTATGGTAAAACTTGCAATTTTTTTAAATGTAAAAAAAAGGGGCATGAAGACGAAGAAAAGTAAATAAGATGGCTTGTATATTCTTCACTTAAAGAAATACTGGATAAACACACCAATCAACCAGCCTACTAAAGATCTCAAAGATAACCTTAAGCTCTGTCGTATAAATGATGGAATGACATTCTAAACCCATATATTCCCCTGCCCATACCAACTCAAGTTCACAATGTAAAGTTTTTAATAAGATTTTAGAACTGGAAATGCCAAACTTAGGCATTTACTGGCTCAGTAATATAACATATATCACATTGATTTTCATTTTGTTTCTTTATCCATATGAACAATATACATTTTCCTTTTCAAAAGGCAAAGTTATGGAACTGGGATTGGGAAAGAGATATGGCCCATATCTCTGATTCTTCTTACTCTCTAATCTTAGATTTGACCCACAAACCTTAAAACTTAAATATAAATGTCTAATTTCATAATTTTAAAATGTTTAGACTCCCTCTTCTCAACAGTTTCTACATTATTGTCTTGTAGATCTTACCCTTGGCCCCTTTTTTTTCCTTTTGTACCTCCATCTTAGAAATGGCAGTTATTTAGGTGATAGAGAGGGTGTTGGTAGGAATATTCCTATGTGCTTGACTGTGCAGTTCTTTATTAACCTTTACCTTCCTGTAGTTATGTCTTCCCCCCATTTTGAATCCAG